AGTACTTAATTATTGATTTAAATACTATTTTCCTATCAAATTATTTATTATAGACAAAGTATAGGTATTTGTTACTTTGTGAGTTATTAGAGAAATTATTATCTACTTCAAGTAGACGAGTCGCGGTGCGGCGAGTTGCGGTTAGGTACGACTGTGTTATCTCTGATAAGTAACTGCCTCTTTGAAAAGAACTGTTTAGTTCTGTTTACTGCTTCCTTAAAGCGTTACTGTATGTTGATTTAACTAATTACTGGTCGCTTCCATACTCGTGGTTGCGAGTGTTAGTGTGTCAAGTCACCTGTTTACTTTAGTGACTTATGAACACCTGCCAAGCTGTAGATAATATCGGTATGTCATTTGTAAAAGTTTTCAATTGAAACCTTGCTATTTCTTACAGATAACCTACATGAAAATCTTACTAAGATCGCTATAATTATATATCTAATATTAAGTAATATGCTTTATATTACTTATGTATTTTAAGTTGCAGGATAGCTTTAGTGGACTTATTTAATTACTTACTCTAAAATCTGTTCTAATACTACTTAGAAAAGAAAACGAATCACTGCAGAGTAAAAAAATCACGTTCTAAAATGTTAACATCTCGTTATAAAATTTTCGTTGCTATGCTGTAATGTATATCAAATACAAATATTACGAAATATTGAAGTAACTACTTAGTGGCGGTAAATATACTTAACTCTGCGGAAAGGTGATTTACAAGAGTGCAAAGTGTGCACTCCCACACACGAACCCACACTTATAAAAGTACACAAAACCAATAATTGACACTTGCATAATTGCCTTTACAATCTTAGTAAAATCGCTAAAAAAATCTCTAATTATGATTTACACTCGTCATGTAATTATCTTTTGGTTACTATGAAATGTTAAAGTAATTTTAAAATTCTTTTACTAATAGATAACTAGTAATATAGACTTACGCGAATATTTGGCCAAAGTTTCGTCTCAATATAAAAAAAACCAATATAGATACCACTCCCAATATAAAGACATCTAGAATATTTACACCTGCAGCTTACTCGTTAGATACTGTAGTAATGCCATTTATAATTTTTTTTTCAATTTAAATTGAATAGAATTCCAGAAACGCGTAAACTGTCAAGCAAACATATTTTATATTTATATCCTTGATGTACAATAAATCATTAGTCAATGTCACTCTCCGGCCTGTAAACTACCAAGCAAACTGTAAGCAGCAACGACCAGTGCTGCTTGAAACAAATAAATTTATGATAAACTCAAGTAAGGGTTTTTATATTTACAAAAACTCCTTCAATTCGCGTACAGAAGCGAAGGTCGTTTTATTTATCATAATTCATCACATTGATATGCATAACTTCGTCGGAATGCGTATCTCAGAACCTGTCGGCGCCCGCGCAGCCTCCGTGGACCTCTGACGAAACATACCACTATATAGTACTCACTCTTTAGACTATATCATACAAAAATGCCTTAAGGATATTAACTATAATTAATCCTTCTGGTCACGATTTTGATAATCACGATATATGATAACGAAGATCATTTTATTTTAGAATAATCAAATAGTGACTTAAGTAACTTTGCGTTAAAGTTGTGAGTAAAAAACAAATATAACTGTAACCTAGCTGTAGCGTATAACTACGTTGTAGGTCTCTGGATCAGCTATAACCCGCTGTCACGCAATATCCTAAAATTTGAAGAGATATTCCAACGATTAAATGTTTAGTTCTAATCAAAAGATGTCCAAGAAGTAACGGGTATGTTTGATCGATTATTATGATCGACTTTAGTATAATATTTTACAATGTCCTTGTTATTTATAGGTAATATTTGTATCGGACCTCTTAATTATTTCCTCTTCGCCTTAGATTTTTAGATAATTTTAAGACACAATATACGTTGTAGGTTTGTTTGTTTAGAGGCCCAGCTTTATTGATTAATATTCTAAAAATAAGAAATTTTATACGTAAATAAATTTAATATGTAAATTTTTTAATTTGTTAAACAATATAAAACGAGCATGCGACGTAATCACAAAGTATTTCCACTTTCTCGGTTTTTATGCAAACAGTATTTGCCTTGCTTTTTATACAAGCCCTTCTAAACACACTCGTACATGTCGTAAGAGTTCTCGGAGAAAGTGCAAATGCTTTCCCAATGGCGTTACTTCGACGCATTCAAAACATTGGGTGTAATAGAAAGAATGCGGTCGAGTTCCGCAAACGTACATACTGAAGGATTAGAAACGCGACGTGCGTCCATTGAGAGAGACGAGTATTGTGCGTGAGAGGCGACGCATCGCGATGAAGGGCGCACCTGTCGGCAACTAACTTACATCGCACACTTCATATTTCCTAACTGAAACATTCTCATATCTCCAATAACTAGATACGTCATAAAAAATATATCCAGAGAAAAACTATTGGGCTATTCGGATGGATAGTTTCAATAAGAGATACTGATTTTCAATTAAAATAAAAAAGACACAACGTTGAATACAATACCATTTACGATTTACATAATATATAAAATAATAACTACAAATATTAATATATTCACTATTGAAATTCTATATTACAATGGGCAGTGATTGGTAACTGTCAAAACAATTAGTAACTGTATTTTTAGCGATCTGTTCCGGCTCAAAGCCGACCGACCGTCGACAGGTGCTCGAAAGCGGTGGCTGTTAGCCATCGGCAGAAACCGTGTATTTTATGAATTGTAGTGATAATATAGCGAGAATAAAGCGAAAATTTAATATGCCAAAGATGAGAGATCGTTCATTTTTGTAATAGCAACTAAAAATACTCGTTAGACGATAGTTATTATTGCTTGCAGATGTATACTGGTTTTTTATAACCAACTTTGATTTCAGCTGCAGGTTAGTTTCTACTATTAGTATTTAGTACGTACTATTGGGTACATAATTAGCAATCTTTTCTTTTTTATTAAGAAGGATTGATCAATTAAATATAGAAATAAAAACTTAAAATTATTGATTCCTTTAATATTCGAAAGCTTCACTAGTGCTAAAAACAATGCTTTTGGAACGTCATGTTTTCACCCACTTCAAAAAAAGAGCTATATGTTAAATTTTATCTATTTTTAAATCCCGACGCGAAAATAGGGGTGTTATAAGTTTGACGTGTCTGTCTGTGTGCCTGTCTCTGGCATCGTAGCTCCTAAATGAACGGACCGATTTTGATGCATGTGTCAAATTTGCAAATGTAGATATCGCTCAGAAGCGATATGAGTCTGCAGTTCTTTAGCAAGGCATTATCGCCCTTATTAAAGAACAGTACCACTACGCTTTTGCTCCAAGCTCGTGTGGGTTTTCCTTCGAGGTTGACGCAATTAAATAACTCCTGAAGGGCCTTAAGGATCGGTTTTCCACCCACCTTCAGAATTCGACCGTAACTCATTCTTCACCTAGTGCCTTGTTCTTGAGCTTAACAACAATAGCTTAACAAAATATATCTTTTGTAATGTTGCTCCTGGTATGGTATAATATGTTTTCACCTAGTGCCTTGTTCTTGAGCTTAACAACAATAGCTTAACAAAATATATCTTTTGTAATGTTGCTCCTGGTATGGTATAATATGTTTTCATATAATTCCATGGTAAAGAAGTGCTAAATCAAATCCAGATACTAAAAGTATAACAAAAAAAAGCAGTTTCACAAACGGTTGCTACAGGGTATTTTACACCCATTCTTACTTTATACGTCCACTGTGACCAAGCACGTATTGTAAACCGAAATGTGCGCGGGGAACACATCTCTAGTTCCTTTTCGGAAAGGTACCTACAGCGGCACGTTGTTAAATTACGCAGATAAAAAAATATGCGTGGTTTTACTAACTATGGTATTTTTTACCCGGTAACGACGAACGAATGATTAAAGAAACAATAACCACAGATCGCATAATACTACTCGTAGCAATAACCAATATTTTCAAAGAATATTTAATTTATAACTTTGAATTTAGTAAAATGCTACCATAATGAAAAAAAAAACATACTAATAGTGTACCTGGTGTAAGAGGTACCTCTTTCTTGTTGAAATCAGTGAAGACCTACATAAAATGCTACAAATGATAATTTATGTACATCAATATCAGCAAATTGAATCTATGATGATATATGTATAAATAATAGATTCTAGCCACTATTGTGCTCCACGTATGTGACGCGGTCACGTTCTGTCAACACGACTGAAAACAAAGGTCCTTAACGTCATCCAATATGCCGATTACATGAAACACGGAGACACGAATTGCCGTGTTGACACTTCATTAGATACATATTCTATGAACCATTATGAGCTATGCCCGAATGCCGTGATAAACATAGACTAAGTAAAACTAGTTTGAAATAGTACTGTATATAACGTTTCCATACATGCACATTACAGAACAGGTCACCTGAATAAAGCACATACGTATTTATGCTAGTTCCTCTTGTTTCCTACTTAAAGTATGCGGTAATGCTAATTGCTAGCCTGATTAAAAATAGTAACTGGACTTCTTAGTTTTATGTCCTATTTCTTTTTAATACGACAATGAAAACAACATTTATAAACACAAAATTAGTAAATAACGCAACACACTCAGTGTCACTATAAATTCCTGTGTCGGGCGCCGAGAAATATGTACAGTAATTTTCATGTCCACACATCAGCGACAAACATTTATATAACCAGGATATGAGCAGACTTCAAACCTACGACCTGCAATGCCCCTTACATTGCAGGTCATAGGTTTAAGTTCTAATGGAACAAATATAGATCTCATATTAATAGGAAATGCCAAATAGAATATTGTGCTACTGCATCAGTTACTATAATATATATTTTTTAAATGTTAAGATAAAATAAGGACTATAAATCATATCTTCTAAAATATTTATTACAGAACCAAATAGGAGCGCCTACAACAGCATAAGTTTATTAAATTCATCGTGATGCGAGAGTTGCGGTCGACGTGAGAGCCCAAGAGATGGCGCTACGCAATGCGAGGGACGGCGGGGGAGGGGCGAGAGGGAGGGCATCCGATGCAGCTGCTACGAGGGCTATGGACGAGTTTGAGACACTGGCAGGCCTTCGAAGGAGTGCCTACATGCTGGAGCACCTCGCCACCTTCACCGTCACGAGGGAGACCGGCATCGTCTATCCGGCAGATGGCATGAGACGGCTACTACAGTTGGAAAAAACCAATGGTAAATTTAAGTATTCAAACAATTAACAAAACTTAAAATGTTACGGGAAAGTAAATGTGTACAACATTTGTTTAATGAAAAAATTTAATGAACAGACATGAGCTCTCTAATATTTAATTAGAATTACTAGCGTTGCCCCTGGCTTCACCTGCGTTCAAATAACAAAAAACAAACTTTTCGCTTCTCTATATTAGAATATATTTTCTTGGCAAAAACAATTTTTATACGAAAATGTTCGTTAATTTCAGTCAAGTGTGAGTCTTTCTCGCGCATCGAGAATTCCATTTCCTCAAATATTGTATTGTTTATTTATGTACGAGTACATACAAGTATTTTGATAGGTTAACATGTAGTAGCTAATAATAATTATTAGCTACTACATGAATCCGAATAGTTTGTTTATTTTTTGGTATGAATGCGGGTTAATAATAATTTGTAGTAGCACGAACATTAGGGCGTGCTAGACTGCTCTCTGCTAGCGGTCAGAACAGATTGGATCCGCTTTATACAAAAAAATATTTGTCCATGATCAAATGTAGATCTTGGACAAATATTTTTTATATAAACTATAATCCGTACAACGAAAATCGTTGTAATATAATATAATTCAAATAGAAAAATATGTTTATTAAGCCCTTTTTTATGCCATAAATATTTAAATTATGTAATTACAATGATTTTCTTGTGAAACACAATATAAGGAGATTATATACTCATTAATCATTTTTTTAGGAATATGGAGTCAAAAAATGCAGCTGTCCTTGGAAGACCAATGGGTATTAATCATGGATTACGAAACAGCGGTGAGACGAACACAATTACTTTGCAATTGTTTTTGACGTAAATCATCTTTAAAATCACAACGTAACATACGGGTACGGTCGGAAAAGTGGTCCGTGACGAAATCGTCTATATCGTCTTTCGTTGATAATTACAAAACTATTGGTCTTAGAAACATAAATCTAGTATCATTATTTAGCTTATATAGTCAGCTCGCTGTTGTGATCTTGAGTGGCGCGGGGCCGCTGGGATCGCCGTTCTCGCTCTTTTCTAGGTATTCGGTGTAACTCACGACTCACACGTGATAGATAGCGCCTTGATTTTATAATGTTTTTACAGAACTTATTCCGACCGATCGATTTAATTAAAAATACGTGTAATTTGGATAAAACGTATAGGAAATAATAACCAGGAAGTGTCTAAAATATATAAATTTAATATATCGGCCTCAGCTCGTGCTGTCATCATCGGAAAGAGAGGGTTATGGGCTACGCAGGTACCCCAAAATCCGACGCTGAGCGCAAGGCGGTTCCGAGAGCATCTCAAAGCTGCCAAGGCACGCTTAGTAACCAACGCCTTATGTTTCTTATTTCTTATATTACAGACCAATTTTTAACAAAATGTTGTCTAATGTATAGTTTTAAAACAATTAGAACGAAGTCAATTTCGTTTTCATTCAAATCTTTAACACTAAAAGTGACTCGCTGAAATAGAAGTTTTACGTTAAACCAACGGCGATGTGCCCGCCCCCTACACAGTCCCACCCGATTTTTATCATATAACTTATATATTGTATATATAAGTTATATGATACTTAATAATAATAATAATTATTATTATTAGATACTTATAACCGATATTTTTTTATATTAAAAATAAAGCTTAATTTAAATGATCTTGTAAAACTAAATTTATGATCTAAAATATTATATGAGACACTTATAGATTAAACAAACAAAATGAAGTTAATTATAAGATTTGGTTGCAACTTGCAGTCAATAATGGAGCGTTTCCCGGTGTCGTGGGTGCACTCGCCCACCGCATTTACGTCTCCCGAGCCAGCCGAGCTGTACAACAACGTGCTCGCCTTCGTGGTGGGCGCGCCGGAGGGCGCGGGCGGGGGCTCCCCTGCCGGAGCGCGCAGGGAGCTGCACATCTTCCAGTGCCATGACGTCGGCGCGCAGACGCTGGTCGAGGAACTAAATTCCCTGAAGTAAGACTGCTATTCATTTAAGGAGTATTTCGTTGGATAAATATGTATATCTTCAACAGTCATCAACCCTTTTTTTTTGTCGGGAAATGCATTTACGCATACCACCTGATCCCCCAGGTGGTGATGTGGTGCTCACCGGCTAGAAGAGCCGATACTACCCACTAAAACCCGACACTCCTCTTGCTTGCCTGCCACCACAATCCCGCAACCGGCACCCATCATCCGGTTGTGGGACCAAAGTGGTCCCACCACCGGTGGCCGCAACGTCTTCGGCAGAACCTTTCGGCTCGAGGCCTAGACAAGCGGCCCCACCAAGCCATTTGATCCGTGCCGGATTTCTCCAGTACCACCCGCCGCTCGGGGACAGTGGGTTGGGTTCCCCAATCCGCCACCTGGGGATGCGCCCGGTAGGAGTTGGCTTCTCGCCCGGGAACAGTCATCAACCCTAGGGCTACTTACACCAAAATCTTTATTTGATTTAAATGTGGTTTGACGATATGAGAATAAATTTTTAAATTAAAGTTGTTGTATTTCCGTACTGGCGGAAAATAGAAAACTCTGCGTAGCTCGCAAGTCAAAATTTATGGAGATAGTAATGCAAATTGTTATGGAGCTCTTAAATTGACTTATCACTTGGGTATATCGGATACATAACACAGCATCCGTACATTTTGAAATGAGATCAGATAACATCATATTCATCGCTGTGGTATCCGTAGTATGCTTAATATGCACTTAATCTTATCGGAGATAAACCTAGCCTTGCCGAAATATACTGTAATGCTGAGAAGGAGTATTTTCCAAATAGTTAGTGATCACAAGTGTGCACGCGTGTATCGTCTGTGTATTTTTAAATGGAATGTTCAGTAAAAGTTTATTGTTTCCGCTACCAGTCTCCGCTTACACGTGGTAAATAAAAAGCTTTAAAATTAAAGAAATTATCTAATAAAAGTGATTTGTGTCAGATATTCTTACGTTGTTAAATGTTATGCTTTCTACTTATTATCTGTGATGTGATGAATTAATCATGTTAATTTGTTTCGCATAACAACAATTAATTACTTTGTTATTTTAATAATTATTCTTAAATTCTATCTAATTGATGACTTAAATCAGACATATAATTTAACTGTGTTAACCTGTTTAGTTAGATTCAGTTTTATTAATTAATTTTAAATAGTGTTATACACAATTCTAGTGCATGTTGTGTTCTCCAGTAATTGGAGGTACTTTTTTAAACACTGTCCACAAAATTTGTATTTTTATTGTATTTTTAAGTGTAGGTACTTTTGTTGGAGTTTCTTATTAAATAAATAAAACAGAGAAATAAATGGATATGAATTTGTTGCAGGGGAGTCGGCAGCGGCGGATCCGAAGGCGGACGTGACTTTATGATTGAACGTGAAAGAGAGAGGGAGAGAGAAACTGAAATGGATAGACCACGACGACAGGTAGTGATGTTTCTATACACATATTAGATTTATCGTTTAAAGGAAATTATTTACATTCACTTGTTGCCGCAGCGTGAAATGCTTTGTCTAACACACGATTGTGCGTGACGCACGATCTCATTTGGATGACAGATGCAAACACTAGTGTCGATTGTTACGCAGATATTGTTCTAGAAGCACGAGGGCGTACTTTATCAATCGCTTACGTTATCAAGACTTTTATCACCTTTCGATAAGCGCACTCAATCGATTGCTTTTATTGTTCATATGAATTGATTAAATTCCAAACCAGATATAACAATTTTATTGGACCATTATATTGTTTCTCACTAATAATAAAATTACCAGACTAACCGTCGCCGGTGGCTTCGCGTGCATATTACTTATCCTCTTCTTATTTTTTCGCATTATTTTCATATCCTTTTAGAATGTAAAAAGAAATACCTAACTTTTTAAAATATCAATTTTTGTGACAACTAAGACTATTAAAATATAATTACAAATTATTCTTTTTTAATCGAATTATTTGTTTATTTTACCCGACTGCAGCGAAGTTCAAATTGTCGATCAGCTAACTGAACTCTCTCAATCGGCTCAAAAAACTCCATCAGCAACCTGAGTTAATGCAGTTGAGGAGGATGAGGATGATATTCCACTCATTAAGGAGTCTGCCCACTACACCGTCTCATACCATGACCGTGTTATATATGTATCGATATCGTATTGTACGAAGAGCGAGGGAATATTTTTGTTACGAAAATTATTTCCTATACGATGGCTATTAGAAAAACTTGTCCGACAGAAAATTAACAATGATAGCCTTTGTTTTAGACGAGGAAAAAAGAGAATAACATCAGTCGATCACGACGTTACTAGGTTCACGCCGTTTTAAAAAAATATAGTTTAAAAGAAAATAATAATATACTAGAAGACAAGCGACAACACGTTTATAATGGGCTTAGAACGGTCATCATGACGGAAAGTTCTAGTGGGCATAGTCTCATAAAGAATTTTTTTTTGCCTGACGCGGTCCTTACACGGTCATGGTATGAGACGGATATAGTGGGCAGAGGCTTTTAATTAAATTAAATAGTGTCTATATAGTTGGTTAAATTCATTCTGGTTTTATTTCATAGTTTGTATATGTCAAAATAACGAAAAAATAATAATGATAAAAGATTACCTTGATTGTTAAAAGTGTATAATTTATTCTAACGTAAATTATGATAGGCAAGTAGTCAAATACCAATACATACACAAGGATTGCTAATTTATCTCGATAATTTCATACCCTGGTGATAGCTGGTTATTTATATTTTTTGCCGCGAGAAAATATCTCATTTCTGAGAAAAAATACAAAAACTGCAATGTTAGAGTATACTTATATGTAAAAAAACCTAAGAATTTGGTTTTTGATCATCTGAACGTGGGCGGAGCTGCGGGCAATGCTAGTTATCTAATATGAATGTCAAGTACAAGCGTACATAAAACTTACAAAAAAACACAAAAAAAAATATGTAATATAAATTATAAATTAAAACAAAAATTTTCCAAATCGGTCTACGCGTCTTCGAGTAATCGGTGAACATACATTAAAAAAAAGTTTCCGACGAATTGAGAGCCTCCTCGTTTTTGGAAGTCGGTTAAAAATCATTGTTACTATAGAAATCAAGCTAAAAAATTATTAAGCAACTGACATTATGATATTAATTTATTTTAATTTTTTCGAAGATTTTATGATTTGAATACATATTTTGTAGATTTTTTAACTTACTTATATAATGTGTAAGTGCAATTTTAGAAATAAGTAATTATATATTTATATTTCTTCCAACAAATGAAAATCAAGCTTTAACCATTATGGAACAGAACTTTTATAACTCTATTATTATTTATTTTTTTAATTTAAATTACTAAACGTTGTTTTATCGAATAAAAATATCTAGTATAAAAAAACTATTTTATTATGTAGGTATTTCGTTCTTTACAAGAAAATCGTAAATAATTACTAAATACAATACAATGAAAGTAATAAAAATTTAGAACTTTTGGAACTACTTGGAATTTTTTTATCTTTTGGAAGTTAGACCAGAAATCCAACCGTTTCAATATATACAGATTCAAACTTTCAATATTTATCACGTTCTTGTCGCTTAAAAGCGATGTACTCGTATGTATTTCTCCGACTACGTAATACTATGTTGTTTCGTCAACTCGTTTTCATTTTTTTATTCGCTTTTGAGAAACTAAAAAGCTATGTACATATATTAATAAAAATGCTAAAATGATATAGTATTTTTGTATTTACATTTCAACATCAAACGAGTTTTCTCACGTCAAGTTATTTTCAAAATTATGAAGCAAAAATAGTAAACAGAGATAAACCGATAGGATAATCCATCGCGTTATCGTAGATAGCGATAGAGAGGAGCGGCTTGAGTCCCAGCTTTCATCAGTAGTGACCCGCGAGTCGCTACGACGCGACCGCCATGGCGCCGCTCTACCACACGCTCACGCGCCAGCAGTGGGAGGCCGTGCTCGTAGTGAGTCCAAAAACATAAACGACACTCATAAAAAATTCTAAGCGATTACTTAATATGATTTTTTTTATATAAATCTTAAAAAATATTCCCATTTACATAAACGTAAATATGTAAAAATTACAAATTAATTTAAATTTACAGCAAATGTCGGCGCAGCTGGGCCGAGGAGAACGTGGAGGTTCAGGGGGCGAAAGAGATGATGCTTCATCTACGGGATCAGAAAGACTGTACGAGCAAGATATAGCCATACTCAATCGATGCTTTGATGACATAGAAAAGTTCATCGCCCGGCTCCAGCACGCAGCCGCCGCGTCTCGGGAGTTGGAGAGAAGACGACGGTCTCGTGGGGGCGGGAAGCGCAGCGCTGGGGCCGGGGAGGGCATGCTGGCCTTGCGCACTCGTCCACCACCGGAACGTGACTTTGTTGATGTCCTGCAAAAGTTCAAACTATCCTTCAACCTGCTAGCGAGGCTTCGTGCTCATATTCACGACCCGAATGCGCCTGAATTAGTGCACTTCTTGTTCACACCACTGGCACTGATCGTGGATGCGGCTCAAGACGTAGCGGACGGGCGTCTCCCGGCCCGAGTGGTGCAGCCGCTGCTCACCCGCGACGCACTCAACCTCCTTGCCAACTGTGTAACCAGCAAAGAGACGGAGCTGTGGCATTCTCTCGGCGATGCCTGGCTCATACCAAGGTAAAACAACAATGTTAAAGCAATATACATACGAGGTACATATATTAGGAAAAGATGGACATCTGAGAGCACGCTGTGCTGTGTCATTCTTCATTTTTAGGGTTCCGTACTTCAAAAGGTAAAAAAGGACCCCTTATAAGATCACTCTCTTGTCCGTCTGTCCGTCTGTATGTCTGTCTGTGTGTCACCACCGATTTTTTCAGGAACGAGTGAACCTAGCAAGTTGAAATTTATACCAGATACTGAGGTCTGTAATCCCTATTAGGTGTATAAAAATCAAGGTCCTGAGTTAACACGATAAAAAGATATAGGCAAAATTAGATTGTAACTTAAGAAACTTGTAAGTACCAAAATTTACTTTAATTTTCAACTTTTTTTATTTTTCGGAATTTTCCCTTTACTTGTGCTGTAAGACCTTGCTTTTAACCAAAATTGACAATACTATATAAAGCGGAAGTACCCTAAAGGTTTTGAACGGTTGAAAACCTATCTGGTATTTCCTGTTTCCCGTTGACCTAGAATCACGAAATTTGGCAAAAGCAAGGTCTTACAGCAAAAATAAAGGAAAAATTCCAAAAAATAATAAAAGTTGAAAATTAAAATTAAACACATTTTCTACAAATTAGTACGGAACCCTCGGCGGGCGAGCCCGAGTCGCGCTTGTCCGGATTTTTTTTTTAAATTGTTAGTAATTTAATTATACTTCGAGTGGACTTTTACATATTATTTTCAATATTTTTTGTAATTTTAACAAATACGGAATGGCCTGTGAACATTTTAATGGGAGCTGAAACATGTATGATAATTTTATTGGTTAAATAAGTATGTGATATCATAGTTGGCCTCCGATAAATGGATTAGATAAATTTAATCTTAAAAAAATTGCAAAAATAGCCACTTTGTCATTGAACTTATTATAATAGTGATGACACTGTCTTTAAATTTAAATAAATGAATAAGATTTCTAAAGATTTAACTGGAAATTATATATATATATAGTATATATAGTCTGAAATGTCTGGAATGTATTAGAGCCAATGCGATGACACTCCCGGATTGCTCTAAAACGTTTTTATTGTAATAATTTAAAACCATGATGCAATTCCCAAATATTTTTATTTTATCTTAAAGCGGAAACTAGAAATTTAGTATTTAAAGCGATGACAAAGTCAGCTTTTGCTTTTTTTGATAGTGTGAAGTAAACTTTGTTTAATAGTCGATTTTAATGAAGATAATATCATTTTGATCACTGCACAATATCGTATTGATTTGATCAAAGATATAAAACTTTGTCATGATAAAATTAAAATTTAAATCAAGCTACTACTTTTGTCAGTGGATCCTCTCGCATGATACATATCTAAGTTCCTTACGATACGTATACTTACACCTTAATTATTCCATTATTGTATTATATGACTAATTTAAGTCGCGAGTATCGTATAGGTACTAGTTTATAGCTCGTGTGACATAAACCTGCCATCTTTTAAAAGAGATCTTCCAAAAATCTGGAATGAAAGAGGAGAGTTTAATTTCAAAATATAAAGGTTTATGTAGATACCTAAGCTAATTAACGCACATGAAAAAAAAGAGTGTTGTGTACTTATGTACGCACGTAAGAAGTTATACTTATTTGGCGTAACAGAACAAAAATAGCTAAAGATTTCATCCCGTATGTCACAACTCTCTGGTTTGTAAAAGGAATGCAGCTAACTTCACCATGTCGCTTTTTGGTTGTCGGTGTGCGAGCGCATCGTAAAAATTTAACTCTCATATCTTTTTTCAAACGTGCGAAAAGAAGTATAACTTCAAAAATATATCAATTAAAAAAGCTTAAGAATAACAAAACAGCTTTTATCATTAATAGGCATTATTAAAAAATTAAACTGAACTCTGAAACAACTTCCAAAAAAAAGCACCTTCTTTTTGTTATCATGTACGAGTATATATTTAATATACCTAGATTCATTATTGCACAGTCTCATCACGGTAATGCTTATGTCACATTACCGTGGTCTCAAATAGTCTACTTAAGTCACTGAAAAGCTTTCCTAAAATGCGGTCTTAGGTCACGCAGTGCTATAAAAAATATTTTATATCATTATTGTACACTGACTATATTCTTATAATATGAATTTTATATTTTATTATTTTGACAATTGCAAAATACTTTTTCTCTACAAGCTAGCTTTATCATTTTTACCCCTATTGGGTAGGTAAACTTAGCTATGTCATAATAGCAATCTTCTTTTTTTAAATCTTGACAGACTGGTCGTGGTCTTGATTTTGTTGTTGTGACTCGCTTAACAACACGCCTCTACTGCTCTCTAATGGTTGCCTTTCTTGCAGACTCGTGCTATGGATATAATAGAAATAGCTATACTATAAAATAGAAATAGGTTGTCAAAATTTAAGACATTTTAGTATAATTATTTGGTCTGGCAATCTATGAGGTTGGCTCCTGCAATTATAAAAAAAATAGATATTTAAATTCATAAATCTAATTCACATCAGTTTTTAATTAATATATAAGATAATAGTTCATAATATACCCGTCAAGGCAACCTATAAACTGTCCACATGTAATATCATCCATGCCTTAATGTTAAAACATATTCTAGCATAGCTTATTATTACTTATACTGTGGAAAATAATATTTGTAAAACACACGTAAGTATGTTTACGAAAAAGCGCTGCTTAATTACAATAAACATTCGATATGCAGGTACCTACATCGCTATCTAAGTGATAACTCCACTAATTTCAGCAACAGTCAGTCGCCGCGCACAATAATGCCTACATATAAAATGTTCAACATATATAACCTTATAATCTCTTAATAATTACATTCCATTGGCATTTAAATGTTATTTTATCGCGTTTTATCAATTAACTACCTAATTAACGCAAAGGAAATGGAAACGAAGTTCCTTATCGCGCGTTATGCTTGGCAGCCTTGGCGTATGAGAGTTAGACAAAAAAGTGTAATATTTAGACCGCCACGACACTTTTTATTATTTACTACGAGTACGTTGTTATGGGGGCAATTAAAAGTGTTATGCCCGATTTCACCAACAACCCATAAGCTACCACCTACGTATGGGATTCCTAGCTTAATAGTCCCCTAAACTAGCCCACTAAATTAAATTTTGTTTTACGATCGCCTTTAAGCCCATATTTCGAGCACGTAAATTTAGGGGGCCTTTTAATATAAAAGGTGACCCCTAACTGTCGGTGAAACAGAAACTGTTCCCTAACAGCCCCCTAACCATGCTTAGGGGATCCCTTAAACTTAGGCGACGTTAGTGAAATCGAGCATTAAGGAATTAGGAATATATGTAGTAAGTATCACTGTTATAACGTGGGCCCGGCCCACATATACAATAGACATCTCGAGCTTCGTGGTCCCCTGGTACTCGTGACAATTATGGTCACCAGAAATTATAAGCTAAGGGCAGCTCAAAATCTGACGTCATCTTATATAAGTGCCAGGTACCACGATAAGTGTTAAGAAATGTATGCCGTAAGAACTTCTTGTTCACTCTGTACAAGCCTTTCTTCGATGAGCTTCAACATGTATGTACATACAATATACGAATATGTACGTAGCTCGATGATCATGATACCCTACTCCCTAGTAATAACTTTTAAGACCTAATTTATGAGCATTCTCAGATAGCGGGTGTCCCACAACACCTTTCGAGTTTTTTTTCTTAGCTGTCGAATTAAATTATTTGATTATTTAATGTTACATGCCTCTTGACCACACTTTAGGCCTTAGCGGAACTTTCTCACTTAGTCTATTTCTCATTATCTACCATCATTATTTTTCTAGGCTATTTGCCTTTCATTAAGATTAGTCCAGGAAGGGAATAGGATAAAAAATGAACATACCTGTTTTTTTTGGGACATAATCACAGAACACCATCTAATTCCATGGTAAGGTACAAGGCGGTTACAGATACCAGATAGTTGATACACTACACACATACATAACTTTAATAATAAATACATACATATCATAAATATAAACACTCATGACTAGAATACAAACATTCGTGGTCATCACACAAATAAATGCCCCCAACGGGACTCGAACCCGCGACCGCTGGCACAGCAAGTAGGGTCACTACAAACTGAGGCAAACGTGTCGTCAAAATATAATATTTCTTTCTAAATGTGTTATGAATAACAAATTAATTATAAGTATTTATTTTGCAACGATTCCAGAGAACAATGGAAGACGACGATACCGCCGTACCAACCCGTGTTCATGGACGGCTGGTCCCCGGACTACCAAGTAGACGACCAGCCTCTTCGAAGGTAAATTCAATTAATGTTAACATGTTTTGTGTACAAGCCTCACTCGAACTGCAGTGACGTTGGTCACAATAGTGTTGTGATGTTACTTTATTGTCTTATCATTTCGTGAAAGCGTTTGCATTTGTATGTCAAAAATATGTTTATAATTTCATACACTTATCTTCTTTTTCCGTGAACTTCTTTTATTTATTATAATGATTGTTTTATGACTCTTCCCGACCGACAGACAGTGCAGACTGCAGACGTACTAGACGTAGAGAAATTGTATAAAAATATATTATGGTGCATTTTTCCACTGATCGGTTCAGATCATTTTCATTTTTCCTCGTCATCCGGCCGGTGCCACTGCCGCAGCTGGAAAAACCGTCAAAATTTAGATTTAAATATTATTACAATCCTAATTTTCGTATTTTTGTCCATAGATGTTATCGGTAGTTTTGGGTATTTTAAATCTTGAAATTGATGCTAAAAGTGAAATTACAGATACCCTTGTTGAATTTTATTTTGTTATATTATACAAATACTCAATAGATCTATATATTTATCTCTAATAACTATCTCTAATACCTGATTACATTAATAAGAGCACTGCGTGATTCGTATAAGCTTTGAAAAGTGCAGTTTTCGATCTAAACAGCGCAAAACGGCATATTTAACTGCTCTTAAGTAATATTTTAGAAGCAGCCATTTCTGATTTTGTATGATTTTATCAAATACCATTATAGCATATCAGATAATATTTAAACAATTATCATTGTTGCGAAATTTACTTATTAGATATATATCCGATATATAAAAGATAAAGTCACAAATGCTTTACCATACTTAAAAATTGTACCTACATGTGGTAGCACAGTGGCAATACGCTCGCTTGGGAAAACCGAGTGAGGTGGGCTCAAATCCCGGGTCTGGCACCTCTGATATCTACACGTACGAATCATTTCTAACATGATTACCATTTGTCATACGGTGAAGGAAAACATCGTCAGGAAACCTGCATGTTTGAAAGAACCTAGCAACTTTTCGAAAGACATGCTAGAAAAAACCGCCAACCCGCACTTGGCCAGCGTGGTGGAATATGGCGTGATACGTTAAAACGCGCTAAATACGAATAATTAAAAATTGAAGTTGTTAAATATAATTTTATTTTTGCCCCATGCAATTTGAATCAGATTGAGAGAGAAACTCAACTTACTTTTCTTGATTGTTGAGTTTTTTATTATAAAGTATACCTATAATATAAGTGCTACCCGGTATAATAATTAACTTAACTATACCTAACTATAACAGTTAACTATATTATTAATTCCGTAATTTTTTATCTAGAAAAATTGTTAAACATTTATTTATATATTTCCTTTTTATTTACTCAAGAGCCGTCGCTATTTCACTGACTTCAAAAACTTAAACTAAACTACTAACTTTATCTCACATATATAACTTGTACTGTCGCCCGCATTCGATAGCGAGAACAGAAAAAAAGTAAAAAAAAGAGGTTGTTTTTTATTCATCATCGTCATGTTCATGAGGGGTCATTGTAAGTGTTTCGTTATCGTGTATGTTTGTGCTTGTGTGTGGTGAAGGGCTTCGCCGCGACGGAGCGAGGGCCGCGGGCCCGAGGCGCCGGTGGCGGAGGAGGCCGCGGGGCGGGCGGAGCGCTCGGAGGGCTACGGTTACGAGCGAGACGAACCTGACATTTACGGAGAGCAATATGCTCCGTACACAAGGTAATATACATTGTGCTTTACGTTTATTTCGTGGATTATATCATCAAAGTTTAATCATCAATTTCTTGCCTAACAAATGTAATCTTTATGTGTGAGACATGCTCATATATGTGTTTCATATTTTTACAACTTTTTTTTTATTTTATTCTTCATTTTCTATATTTTCAGTCAAAAGATGTTCTAAATGTATTATTTAAAAATGTTACAGAAACACAAGAACGTTGACGCGCGAGGACTCTGGCTCGGCTGCTTCTTCGCCGGAACGCGAGCCGCCTTACAGAAGTGATCGAGATGATGGTAAGTTATATTTTTACCTAGTTTACCTTGTAACTACGACTTATCCAATACTTCATATATTTGAACATTTCACCTTTTTATTATGGCCGAAAAAATAATTATCTACTATTGTTTTAAAACTACTTCCTACGGCTCCGTTCATGCGTACGTAGGTAAGTACTTAGAACTGGGCTCTCAAGCCGTATCAATAGAAATCTGTATGCCCCATCAATAGAAATAATCTATACATATAATAGAATTATGACCGAGTCAAACCTGTACATTAAATATTTTTTCGAAAATCTTATTGAAACAGTAATTATAATCGCTATAGAGGCCGAATCTATAGTTTTTAGAACTTTTGTCTATCTGTCTGTATGTCTGTCTGTGAACACATCACGTGAAAACCACTGGACAGATTTTAATAAAATTTGGTATGATAATAGCTGGTTATCCGGGTCAACTTATAGAATACTTTTTACTGCGGGAATCTCATCTCATCTCTGAGAAATCTATACTAACCGTTAAAACGTTTCTAGGAACGAACGAAGTGAGTAGCTAGTTATTATATAGTTCTGATGATAGCATGTACAGTAAAAAGTCTCATTGAAATCTTTCTGATACCGAGTTTTGTGTGAGTAGTAGAGTGGAAAGTTATAAAAACATTAAAATCCCATTGACATAAATTATTAAAATTATACATAATTTTGAAAACTGTTAGGTATATGTGCAACTGTATTATGTGTTCCCAGATGACCTGGGCGAGGCGTGGGCGCGCGGCGTGGCGGCGCGCGGGGGGCGCGTCGTGCGCGTCACCTACCCGCGCACCGCTAACAACGACAAGGAACTCACTGTCGTACGTGGGGAGTACCTTGAGGTGATCTTTTATTATCAAATTACAACTCTTCTTTTAATTTTGCTGGCCCTATACCCGAATAATTATGTTAGACTTGGTTTGCAAGTATATCTAAAAATTTGCGTAAACCAAATTAATAAAATAATAAAACAAAACAACGGACTCTGAATAATCAACACTTATATAATTATTTTATCGTACTTTTCCTTTAATTATAAATGCACATGTTTGTATACTTGTGTGTATATCGTGTCTGTTACTAGGTACTTCACACTAAATCTGCTGGATGAATTCGGTTTTAATTTAAAACATAATAGATATACTATAGCCTGGAATAACATAGACTACTATTAGGCTCTTGGTTAGTAAACAATATAGTAGAAAATTCAATGGACATAATATGTAGATCGTTTCTAAACCTTAAAGAATAAAATCCTTAGAAATTCATGGTTGCGTGTAGGTTCTAGACGACTCGCGGAAATGGTGGAAGGCGCGCAACCGGCGCGGCGTGACGGCGCACGTGCCGCACACCATCGTGGCGCCCGCGCTGTCGCCGCCCTCCTCGCCGCATCTCTACCCCAACCCCATCTACACACACTATCAGGTACCGTCATAGTTACTGGTTGTTATTCAAACGTGGCTTTTTTTCTATATTTTTTTATAGATACATAAAAATAAGTGCATTTCAAACAGTTATTCACTACAGCTATGTTTTTATGTTATAAACATATTTGCTAACTTCATCTTCAAAATGATAGTATAATTAGCCCATAACTACATAGATCTAAGAATAAAGTAATAAAAAATATTCTTAATATTACCTTATTTTCAATACAACAGGAGGGCGGCGGTCGTGGTTCGGGCGGCAGCAGCCCTACGAACATGCCGGGTAGGGGAGGCGAGCGGGGCGCGGGCGGGGCCGGCGGGGCGGGCGGGGGCGGCGCGGGAGGGGCGGGCGGCGCGGACTGGGTGCGCCGCGAGCGGCTCGGCAAGAAGGGCGAATTCCGATATTTTTAGCGCCATCGGTCACAGCATCCCATATGACCTAAACCATATGAGATGCTACATACAGCTCTTCCCTTTTAAATCCTCTACCAAAGCGCTTACCGCACGAGCAGTCCACTTGGACACCGCTTAGTCATAGTTAATGTATCAATTAAGATATTTATTTCGCGTTGACGCATGTGTTCTATATACATACTTACATTTTGAAGTAATGGCGTTAATTTTACAATAAGATAGATGGCGCTAATGTCAGGACCCGCCGCCATGTGTTTAATACTGCTATGTTGCAAGAGTCCACTAGTAAAAATGTCATGTAGTATTGAAAGCAAACGACTGCCTCTTTTCTGAATACTCAAATTGCTCAAGTCGCCTGCATGTGCAGATAACTCGAAGTAATCAAAAGAGGGACATGCGTATATCTCTCTTCTCTGTAAACTCGTACTAGCAGTATAGTAAAGTATCAGACACATGGGCGCCGCCCGCCTGTCGTGTGTGTGCGTGTTGTCATTTCTTTTGCTATAAGTGTGTGTTGCTCGCTGGGAAAGAAAAACAGATTGTACTGAAGACGTCACTCACGAGGGTGGGTTGATGTGTCAGTGTCACTCCCGCGTTGAGTGTATCTTCTGATCTTATAATATATTATAGTTTGACTCGACGCGCCGCGTGAACAATTTACTCACATTACTGACTATTGCGGCGCGACCCGAGATCGTAACAAACCTTAGCTTCGCGTTAAGTCGGAAGATCATTATTACTAGTGTATTTGTTTATTAATTAACAGAGTCTATATTTATACGTTCATTAAAAATCTTTAGAGCATCTACTTTATATTAGAGATGACTCACAGTCCATGTATCTTACGTCTGAAGGGAGCGGGCGCGCGGACCACGGTCCCTATAAAATATATAATGAATGTACATAATGTTACTAACATAATAATCAATCGTACTGTACAGTTATTTCTTCAATTATATTTTTATAACTTGTAATTAATCATTTAAAATGTAACCGTCAACTTGGCGGTCGGTGAATGTCACAGAAGCGTCCGCTCGCCAGAAGATGTGCTCATGTTTATACATTTTATACTTAAAATAAATTCTTTAAAAAAGTAATGATTATAGTCTATTTTTTATCCTTCCTTACTGTCTACCATTCATATAGTAATCGTCATTCAATAAGTGTGATAAATAATACATACAATAATACGAGTGAATTTTTGAATTAGTAACTGCCGGAGTTTCCCTTAATTCTTTATACATTATTTTTCCCAAATTTCATTGCTTTGCTTTATGTTTATGCCTTCATTGTGCCGAGTGCTGTGTGCTGTGTTTTATGCGGTAAGTGTTTGCTAACTGTGTGTGTCTTTATTATTTAAAAAATATATTCGATATTTAATATATTAGTTTTTGGTTCTTAATTAGTTTTAAAGATTCTATTTTTATTATCATTAACTTATAATTTAAATAAAATATTATTGGCAACATACAAATTATTAAAAAAATGTGTTATTAAAACGATATATTAATTATTAAAAAAAGTAACATTTAGATATAAAACTTCGTATGATGATATTATCGCATGGTGAAATATGTTTTAGCGCCAGAACCAGTGCGAAAGGTAGAGAAGCCGGTGCCACCGCCGCCCCCGCCCCCACCGCCGCCTCCCGAGCCGCCCAAGCCTGCGCCGATTGCCATCCCGGCCAAAAGTGATACCTTAAAATGTAAGACAAAAATAAGAAAATAGTCTACTATACTATACTTATTCGTCTCTAGTGAGAACCGAAAAAAATCTATCGCACGGGAACCAATATTAAAATAATATTATTTTAAAACAGCGACGAAGTCAATGATGAGCACCAGCTCGCTGCACGAGGAACTGAAAGCCGTACTGCCTCAGATCCAGCAACGAAGGCTCGACTTTAAGAAGACACCTGATATTTTTATACATCAGGTACTTTAAAATGCATATTTATTACTAAATGCACTATTTAATTTACTAACGGAAAGAGCGATAATAAGTTATAACACCTAGTCGGCCTCAAGTGCCAACCTCACCTGCTCGCGGTCCCTCTACTAGACAACAACACACGACAACAGACGAGGCTCTGGCGACCGACAAATGCCGGTATATCCCTACACCTACCCTGGTAACAAGGTAGATGAGGCTGGCAGCGACCTCGAGATCTAAAATTACAACAAAAATGTCTGGTACACATTTCGAAAAAGATATTGTGTAGGGACGCTTAGAAGACAGCCCCTTCATCGTGATTAGAGGCTAATCACTCGCATTCTCTTAAATTATAATTTTACGATAAAAGAAACTACAGCCAATTTTTTAAACGATAGATAGCCCACGACGATATTTTTCGCGTAAATAAGAACTCGAATAGCCTCTTCCATAATACTTGAAGTTGATAAACAATTTACAGTTTTCTATTCTTAAAATTTACTATAATTGAAGTGGTAATCATAATTTTACAGAAATCAAACCCTGATGAAGTGGTCGCGTGGCTGGAAGCGAAGGGATTCAGTGCAAATGCTCAAAAACAGATGCGTCTATCAGGACACCAGCTATTTGCTCTCTCCCGGAGTCAGTTCGAGCGCGTGCTCGGCTCTGACGAAGGCAAACGGCTTTACAGCCAAGTGCTAGTGCAAAGGAATGTCTCAGGGGTAAACAAAATATTAATAGTTTTTATTATAATAGCCTGTGATGTATATATTTAATAAAAAATGATAAAATAATGCGTCAATCTCCAATATTTCTTTGAATATGTGTTTTATGAAATTTTTATTTATCTTTCCGCTTTTCCTGATTTTCATTCTTTCTTCTTTACATTCTTCTTTCCTATCACGAATGATCAATAATGTGTTTAAATGTGTTGGTTACTTCACCACACTTAGTACAAGACGACATCCGCCTCGGAGCTGCAGAGCATCCTGCGCAAGGTGCGCGAGAAGGTGGAGGTGTCGTGAACTTGTACGGCTCGGACGACGCGGCACACAACGGTACTCTGGAATATTACCGAAGTTCCTCTTATTGTTAATATTTATTATTTTTTGTTGTTGTAATATACATATATATAGTAAAAAACATACATGCTTTGATTGGCTGCTCAATTATTAAAACTTTAAAATAAACCCATTTTGGCAACATACCACTTATGAGATCAAGCAGCAAATTCTGCAATTAATTGCAAAAAAGCATCACTTTTAACATCAACTTTAGGTTATAAAATCAATTGAGTCAAAATTAAATTTAATCAATTACGTGTTAAACTATAATTATTTAAGTAGTAATTTTACGTCGATATAAAGTATAAAACTTATTTTCTACCAGAGTTTTTTTTTCTATTTATTTAAGAATATTAAATTTATTATACAAAAACTTAGAAGAAAAAAAAGAAGTTTATTACATAAAAATAGTTTATTTATTTCTGTCTTAAATATAAAACAATATGCACTATATAAATATTAAATAAAGTTGCGAGTGTTGTATCACTTCAATAAGTTGTTTACTAAACATTATTGTATAATTCACAGCAGAGAAATAAGCTAGAATGTTTTAATTTTCTTGGATATTTGTCCGACTTTTTTATATCACTACTGTACCTTATACAAAAATATGTATTTTTAACCTTTTAATTATTAACTTCCACATCGGTATGTACACTAACTAGTATAACATAAGAGTGTCTAACAATAATATTTTATAAGTTATGATTATAACATTAAAAATTTTATACAAAATCATTTTTCATTTTCACTTAATTTTTCGTCATTTCTAGCCAAAATATACCATATATAATATAATATCTTATCTAGGGTCTCATAGTTGCCGTGAAGTCTTTTAATTTTCTTTAATATCTAACTCTACCCAACCCTGCTCTATACAATCTAACTAATATTTATATAATATAATATACATTTGCTAACTGTAAGTGACTATACAAATTAAAATCTTACGAAGACATCGGAGTCACAATGTAATGTTGTGCGTGGTTATAATAAACTAAGCGCCACTTACACGAATAGACTTTCTTGCCTAGAAGATATATATATTTCTTTATCGACAGCAAGAAAAAAATATATAATATTAACTGAACATACGATATCGTACGTTATAGGGCAATAACGGCCTTGTCGTCTCTGTGCAAACTTGTAAAGGCAAGAATCGTATTTCGAGTTCAGCCAGTCGCGAGTCGCAAACATAATTGTAGTGCGCGAGGGCGTTTTAATAATCTCTGCTCTTCTAAGACAAGAAATGATTAAACGAAAGCGGAAAAAGAAATTGGGATAAAAAGTAGACAGACATAAGAAACACTTTTAGAGCATCTTTGTCTTGAATTGCGACTAGAAGATGAAGAAACATTTAAAAATATGTTTCAAGTTACTAAATCACAGTTCTCATATTTACTTGAAAAAGTTGGACCTTCTATACAAAATAAAACACAAATATGCATCAAGCTATACCCGCTCGTACAAAATTGGAAATAACGTTAAAGTTTCGAATGGCAAAACTCGCATTCAAACCGATTTGTACGATACTCGCATGAACTTAAAAAAATGTCATATGAGATCGAGTTTAAACAAGTCGAGAAATCGTAGGCAATTTTTATCGTACATATACGTTAGGAATTTGTGTCGTAGTGTAAACAAAACGCTTAGCGACGATTACCTTGCGAATATCGTACGACATACTCGTAGGCGAGTTTTTGTTTTTTGGTTAAATGTAAACATTTGATGCGATTATCGTCTAAAGATTATCGCGTACGATAATAGCATACGACTTCTCGCCCCAAAACGTGCGATAAAGTCTCTCCATGTAAATGGCGCTTTATAATAGCAATTGCTTTAAATATTTAAATAAAAACAGCAAAATACATATTAATTAATAGAAATTGATAAAAAAATATCATTTTCTTTTATATTTTAATACAAAAGTGTATATTATATGTTTGTCTATAATAAAAGGTCTGAATTTGTAAATAATATTCCTGACCATTTTCATACTATTAAAAATCTAAAAAAGATGATAAAAAGTTCCTCCAACGTGAGACGGCAAGACTATCAAACACAATTATACCTAATGAGTATGGCACCGTTAACATTATTTTATAGAGTTTAATTACGTCACACACCCTAAAGTGCAAGCACCATCGCACGCGCGCCACCGCGCTCGCCCGCGAGCGCCGCGCACAGACACACAGACACACGTTCAGACTCTTCATTTAAAGGAAGTTACTATATTGATATACAAGTTTTCTATTTAATAGCTGTGAGGAACGATGATCTTGTAATCGTTATTCAGTCACATGTTTTTTTCTACAATTTCATGTAAGCTTCCTAAAATACGAGAACAAATATCGCACAAGTAAAAACGTATAAAATATTATAATCCCAAATCGATCTAGTCCTATTAAAATTACAATAACAAGAGATACCTTATTTCAACAGGTAACATAATGTGGAATGCGAACTTATATGAAATTGAGTTAAACTTCGGTATTAAAATGCTATACTAAAATGCAAACAGTAATAAGTCCGAAAATGTTGCATTAGATAGTTTTCAACACTGGGCCGTGAGCGTACTTCAGGGGCTACTTTGTGTAGGACAACGCTTGTGAGGCGAGTCTTGCGGCGATGGCGGCCGTCAGTGCGCTGCCCTTCCCGCTGCCGTCCTCCGCGCCTAGTAGTGTGAACTGCAATAAGGAATTATAATTAATAATTTATTTATTAATAAAGTAACATTATTGCTATTGTAACTATTATAGTTGTGTAGACTGCCTTGTTGGTCTCAAATCCAGCGGTTCCGGGCTTGAGTCCCAGGTCGAGGTCGATAAGTATATTTATTAGGTCTTTGTGAAATTGTGGGTAACAGGTCGGAATTAAGAAGTTGGCAACATTTATAGTCGTGTCAAATTGCCGTCCCACATGAGTTTGAGAGTGAAAATTACAGAAAGTAGGTACACTTGTGTTTGTGCGCACACTAGTGCATCATAATAATATCCCCGAACATGCTAGTCCCAATAAGATTGGCCGCGGCAGCCGGAATCGGTCACACATTATAACTTTACCTCTTGTACGTGATGAGAATTGAATTTTGTGTTTCAGAGCATAGAAAATCACTGACAGACTGATGATTTAATTATTTTAATTTAACGTAAATTACGATAGGAGTCATAATAATCTAGTGTTTTTAGTAGAATATAGTGGATTTTAATACCTTGTGGTGTGGCGCAAGGAGCGCAATATACTTGTCCATGAGCGCGCGGATGCGCGGGTGGCACTTGAACACGGAGCCGTCCACCGCCACCGCCACGCGCGGCCGCCCCATGCGCTGCAGCAGCGTCGCTATACCTGACCGTAGGGAATAGTACATTATTGTTAACAGTGGAGTACTTAAAAATATTTTTGTGTCTATTTGTCCGATAATCGGTTGAATAAAAAATATTTATACTGCAACTGCGACTATTTTTGTTTCTATAAAAAACATTCAGATCTAAAAGAATAAGTTTTCAGGTCAGTAGGTTAAGGTTATTTTTTTTTTTTGCTTTTAGAAATTGTTGTACCTAAAAATCACTTATTTTACATTAGAAAACAAATAAAAACTTTTTAACAAAAAAATGAAAACCGACTTTAAACAAAAGCACTAAAAAGAAAAAAATAACTGATTGGTAGTTTTCATTTACTATACATACCTAATCAAATATTTTCGAAGTCGGTGTGCCTTGCTTTGTATTGGCTGGCTACTTGGGTTAGTACATACATTTAGATTTTGATAATAATATATTTAATGTTCAGCCAAATTCAGCCTCACAGCATGCAATAATTCATTAATTAAAATATACATAAAATTACAAAAGTTAACATATATTACATAATAACATATAATCCAGTATTATGTTTGACTTCCTCTATAATATATTTTATATCATTCTTTTTTAGCTAGTTAATTACAATACCTATATACCTGCTTATATATATTTTACCTTATCCAACATATAGTCTTTAACTGAATAATACGTCTTACCTAATAGAAATTTCTTCAATTTATGTTTAAATACATTACTTTCATTAATATCTAAAATATCTTTAGGCAAATGATTATATATAAGTGCGGAGAGCGGCGAAGCATAGCCCTATGTCTTACACTACTACAATTTTCAAATAAATATAAATTATCGTTTATACATATAATTAATAGCCTCATAGATGTACATACTTGGGAATGTCATAATATTATAATTATAGTTTTTGAGTATTTTTGTATAGTAAGTGTCAGTAGCAGCCCAGAGTTGGGAAGTTGGCGGTGTTACACCCCCGTTAGCGATGGGCGTTGAATGAACAGACTAGTTCAATCAACCGATCGACGATGCGTCGACGGTTCGATGGTTCATGTATTTCAAATGAACTAGTTCAATTCATAGACTAAGACAGTCCGTCTCGCAACGTAAACTAGTAACTATAGACTGTGTAGCGTCTACAACTACATTGAAGCGTACGTGAACCACAGTCCACGATTCATTAGAACTAAACAACTCAAACAATTTATCATTATTTATTTTATACAATAAATTTTTCTATTGAACTCTATCAACTTGATACTTTATAATATAAATTATGATTACTGTATAGCAAACGTCTACCAAAACGCGAATGGAACTTCGTTTCGACCAGAGGTACCTACATACTCCATAGACCAGTAGGTAGGCACTTTTAAGACGCAACGCCATCATATGGCATTACAAGCGTCAATCGCTTCACCGTCCCTTACTTTGTTCCAGTGCTTCCATGGGTACCTAACAGTAGTTTATGTGTTACTCCAACTTCATAACAACATACAAACTTTCGCATGCATAATATTAGTGTAAATTATGACGAATGTAATAAAAGCTACTCACAGACGGAGACGAGCTGCGCGGCGCGGTTGGAAATGACCCTGGCAACGTGCTGTGCGACCAGCGCGTCGCTTCGCGTCACGCCGCGCCCGCACGCCGCGCCCAGCGCCTCCACCGTGCGCGACCACGCCCCTGACACGTTCTCTCTGCAACCATTACAATATGTTACGCTTAAAAGTTTGTTAAAAAGTTTTTATTTTTCCCTTTTTAATGTAGACAGTAGTAGCAAAGTAAGAATTCTAACGTGTTAGGCTTGTCAAATAGCCGTTGAAGAGTTCCACCTTTGCACCTTCTGGCCTTACCATCAGATCAGGTCAACAATACCGAACCACTGTACTATCAACGGAAATAGAGACACTTGCAAAGTTTCAAGTCAATATGACAATTAGAAGTAGGTTAAATTCATCATTAGCTATTTATTTTTTTTTGAAATTTAAATGGGCCCAATTTGGAAGTATACATCTTCAAACAAAATAAAAATTGTCCAAATCGGTTAATAAATGACGGAGTTCTGAGGTAACAAACATAAAAAAAACATACAGCCGAATTGAGAACCTCCTCCTTTTTGAGGAAGTCGGTTGAAAATAGAAGAAGGAAACATTCTCCAGTAGGTATTTATATACGTACTCTTCGAACATGCTGACGTGCGAAGAGAGCAGTGAGCCCCGCGCGGGCGCGGCGGGGAACAGCCCGTCGCGCGCCAGTCCACGCAGCACCGCGCACAGCAGCTCCCCCAGGTACTTGCCGCCAATGTACTTCTCAAAACTACAACAAGTTATTTAAATCTTGATTATTATATTGTAGGCATTATAAAAAAATCATAGCTTCTTGGCTCCATAAGTAAATATCAAAATTTTATATTTATCATGATAACTACTATAATTCTCTAATAGAATATATACTATTTTGTTGTACATTTAAAATACGATATTTTACTTAAACACCATACAAATATTTAAAAAAAACAATTCGATAAGCCCTTTAAATATCTAAACCAATAACATAGACCATTAAACGATTCAAATATAAATACAATTATTCAACCACAAAGTATAAGTACTCACGTAAAAGACATAGCTAGGAGGGAATTATCATCCACCTCCTCATCGAACTCAGTGCGTAGGAAGGAGAGGCAGCCGTTGTCCCCGAAGGCACCCCACTCGATGTCGACGCACACGTCGCGCACGCGCTCGTGCGCCGCCTCCCAATGCTGCACGCGCTCCGCGCGCTCCATGTAGCAACCGTTGGACCCCGTGCCCATTATCACGGCGATCTAGTTGGTTGGACCACGAGTTTTCATAATTGGATTTTAAATGAAATGATTCTGTACTGTAATCATTATTTGGCGCCAGTTTTTTTTATATATGTTGGGACATTAACACACATCACCATCTAATTCCATTGTAAGCTACGAGGCTTGTGTTATGGATACCAGATAGTTGATACACTACATATATATGACGTTAAATAAATACGTATTATAAATATGAATAAAAACACCCATGACTGGAGTACAAACATTCGTGCTGATCACACAAATGAACCCAGCGGGACTCGAACCCGCGACCACTGGCACAGCAAGTAGGGTCACAACAAGCTGAGCCAAACATGTCGTCAAAGTTGAACTACGTTGCTTGCCTTTAAATAGTAACAAAGTATAAAGTAACAAGTATAAAGCGTACTCATACTTAAGAGATTGCGTTCGCGTGTGATACGTCATGAATTATGGGCGTTCTTGTCGCTGTAGTATTTAAGTATTTGGAAGTAAATCAACCTATGGCTATAGGAGTAGTGCCGTTTTCAATATTTTTTTCGAAACAAGATATAACAAATATATTTTAAATGCAAGTGAGTCGCCCACGGACAAAAAAAAAAAATAATGAAAAAAAACAACTTAGAACAACGAATAACTGAACTAAACAATCACTTACTGCTACATCAGGGTCTAGAGCCGCTCCAGCCACCAACGTACCGGTAGTGTCATTGAGCAAGACCTGCACAGTGATCTTCAGACCGCGCTCATGCAGACAGTCCTGCAGCAGCGCGGCCACGTCCACGCCCTCCATGCCCCCGCACTTGAAGCTCTTAGTCCACGTCATCAGCTCGCCCGACGAGATTGAGTGCTGTTTCATTGGGAAAGAGAAGGTGAAACCTGTAAAAGAAATTATATGCTATTTCATTTTGGGCATAATAAGTTAAATGTTAACGTCTATAACAAAAAATAAACAATACAAATTTCAACAATATGTTGGGACATTAATACACAGCACCATCTATCAAATTATGGTATATATATATTGCTCGGTGGCCCTGGTACTATAACTTTAAATCCATACATATTATAAATATAAACGCCCATGACTGGAGTACAAGCATTCGTGCTTATCACACAAATTAATTCCCCGAGCGGGACTCGAACCCCCCGACCGCTGGCATAGCAAGTGGGGTCAATACAAACTGAGCCAAACGTATTGTCAAACAATACTTCATTAATTTCTTTTTAGCACTCCGTGTCTGAAAATATTAATTTATTGTTACCAAAACTGGCAATATATATTTTTGAAATGGATTGAATAAAAAGCAAGTGTACGCAGTTACTTACCGAGTGACAGTTCATCGCCCTCCATGCCTTCAGAGCGCAGGAAGTCCAGCACGCAGTCCGCCAGGAAGTTGAACAGCTCCACGCCGGGACTTACTCGCAGCGCGTCGCTGGGGGGAGTTGCTTATCATTATACATATTTCTACTCTAATGCTATTGATAATTTAAATATTACTTTTATGAATTTACTTTTTACTGAAAAAGACAACGACTTGATGAAAGCGACACTGTTGCCGTTTGTTTAATGAGTCTTGCAACAGAGCGTCGACCGTTCTACAAAATACGAGTTGTTGAAACGTGTTGCCTTTCCTCAAAATCGCCTGTTGTTGAATAGATGTAAATGCACCTGTCTTAACTATAGTTCATTCGCATTAAGAAAATAGTAAGTTATCGGTGTCCACCGGTCTAGCCACGCCCCCGACCAATTAGATTGCATAAAATTATAAGTCATTTTTCACAATGACCAGTTGAAGGCAGACATAAATATTATATTATTAATGAATATAATAAATATCTCAAATCAAAATAAAGTCATTATCATTATATGATGACTTAAGATAATTAAGTTTATTAATAGGGTCTTGGACTATTTTATGAAAAGTTTCTTAGCCTATAATTGTTTACATAAATAAAATGCTGCTAAAAATATTTTCCCGCAGAAATTACTGTATTCTTATGTTAAAAAATCAAAAATTATTTTTCACTTTTGAATTAGGCACTAAAACGCCACTCTTTTAACAATCGTTCAGCGTGACGTCACTTATCATACAGAGCGTGTGTAGACTATAAAGACCTCGATTATATTCCGTAATCTGTGGGCTCGATCGATTAATTATTAATTGAAAAGGGAACAAGAATATTGAAAATAAGTGCAATTAAGTATTATCAGAATTGTTCAGTGCCCTTATGTGAAAATAATACCAATAAGACACAAGGCGGGATTGGAAAAACCAATCCATAAAATCAATGATTTACGTCTATAAAGATAATTTTGATGTAAGTATGCATTACAGTATAAAATATTCATTGGACTATATTTACATATTGCCAAACGCGACACTGGTCACTGCTGTTATTAGTCTGTATTTTGTTATGATGTTATGCTTAGAGATTATTTAGGTTCCTTGGATAATTATAAGACTAATCAGATTTTTACACCTTTTAATTTGTGTAATATCCTAGTACTTAGATAGATAAAATCAGAGTTTTTAGCGAATAATTCCGCCACTATCATGACATCGATAAATGATTTGAGTTGCCAGCTCGAATAAATTTGTTTGCCGTGGTTTTGACCAGGAACGTAAGTAAATTTAAATATTACTTTACTTAAACGATTAAAACTTTGAAATTACAGAGATTTGAATTTTCGAAACTAGTGTAGTATAAACAACAAACTAGCACAGATCATATAATACTATACTTGACACTAAACAATGATAAGTGACGTCACGCACCGTAATTAGTCACGTGATTTTGATATTAAAAAAAATAATTAATTATGTTAAAAATAAAGCAAAAATCATGATTTTTATTTAATTATACCTTTTAATAATGAGTTCAATCCCCATAAACTACCGCTATACAAAACATTATATCATTTTATTACTACAGTCCAAGATCCTATTATCTCAAATCAAAATTATTATTTTTTAAGTTTTAAAATTAATATATATGTTAGTCATTATCTATAACATGGATGACAAGTTGATGACTTTATTTTGATTTAAGATAATTAAGTTGATTAATTATCTCAAATCAAAATAAAGTCATTATCATCTCAAATCAAGATTTGAGATAAGTAAGATAATTAAGTTGAATTTTATCCATTAAACTTAATCTTTTGAAATATTGAATTTGAATTGAATTTTTACTCCCACTTTGTATACACCTTTACCTGCCATTGCACTACTTGAACTACTACGTTGGACTATAGAGTCTATCTATAAAAGTTGCAAACAGACTTGTAGCTTGCAAAACGAGATTTCTCGACTTCACAAGAAAGTACCATATATTACTTTGATATTTAACCGGTATTTTAACTAACAATCTCAAAATATCCTGCACTCCTTGCAAGGCGATTTTGTTTTCTTTATATCATATGTCACTAATCTGGAGGCATATCCTATTCATTAAAATCGTTTCGTAGTTTAACATTCTGAAAAATAAGTAAATAGCTAACATACTGCATATGTGTGAGTGATCCTAAAGGGTTCCATTTAGACACACAGTATAATTTTTATGCCGATAGATAATTCACCGTCAGATTGTTTTATAATGTTATAGTACTTATGCTTTAATAATAACCTGATGTGATACTGCTTGACGTCTTCTCGCACGAGCTGTCCGTTCTGCAGCTCGAGCAGCAGCACCCGGAAGTTGGTCCCGCCCAGGTCCAGAGCAAGAAATACACCTTCCTCTGAAAACGTTATATTTCGTAAATCAAATAAAATTAAATAAACAAACTTATTACAAATTTCGTTGATAAAAAAACATATGTAGGTATAACAAGCAAACCGGAAGCTAAAAAAAATATCCGTAGATAAGTATGTATATAACGCAAAGAAAATAATAATATGTTAAAATAAAAAATAAACATTACAATCACTTCATCAACTGAATCGTACAAAGCTGAGTTAAACAATCGGCTGCAGTGCGAGGATCATCGTGGGTTTTAAATAGATTTTTTTTCTAAGTAACTTTTAACTATAGAGCGGTAAAAAATTTCTAGGACTTATTAAGTATTACAGCTAGATAGATTAATATTACCTGAATAGATCTAAAGGTACTAGTGGTTAATGGGGTTAAAATTATGGATAAAGTGTATAGAAATTGGTATGAGAAAGTTGCCCGCAGACTCTATCATCTACACAAATGCCTTTATCATATCTAACTCAAGATTAAACTTTTCAAAAAAATATTCAAAATATGCGTGATACGCATAAGACCTCTTTTATTATTAGTCTAGATTAGATCTTTCAATAGGTACTTATTAAATTATTCTAATGAAATAATAATTAATCAATGATAAAAATAATATTACATGTTGATTTATCTCTATCTATACATATAAATGAGTCATTAGAGTTGTCTGTATAATTCATTTACGGGACAAGCCATTGAGATTGGTAACGATAAAAACTATTGTGTTTCGGCGGATCTCAATTACTTATCTACTTGCGGTTCTCTTTGCTAGAGACAGAGAGATGTAATTTCTATACAAATTTTGCTCGTTGATTGTCAACTTAATGTCATTTATGATTGAGCACGTGATATTTTTATCTTTTAAATTTTTAAAACCTAAACAATATTTCAATTTAAATTAATTTGTCATGTCCACATAGTTTTATAACTGAAAATTATACGGTAATTTTGCCTAATAAAGCATTTTTATGACTAATTTTTAGACTCAAGTTTTATAACCCTAAAAACTAACTTACCTTTATAGTAAAATTCTTATTAAATAACTCACCAGTTCCGTCAGGTAGTTCAGGTACGTAAGTGTTCTCCATCTGCAGGCTGGAGGGTCTCTCCCGCAGACCGTTCTCAATCTCTCTCGCGAATACCTCGCCCACGCGCCGCAGGGTCGCGCCGCACAGCACCAGGCCTGACAGCTTCGTGTCTGTCTTCAAGGAGATAGAACAAAATGAATTAACAATTACTTAGCATTTGTTATATATTACCTATAAATTCTTTCATTAAAATCGCTTTGAAAATAATTATTATTGAAATGTAAAATTATATGTATATCTATAGCGTTGTCACGGGTCAAGTTCAATCAAGGGTCCTCTCACTTAAGGTTAAGTTCAAATTATTTGCTCAACCAATCTCAATCTTATGTACTACTTTTAAAAATCTTTTTTGAGGTGAAAACTTTTTAGCCGCGTTGAGCGATTTTGTAGGAGTAAATCTTATGGGTTCGCGTCACCGACATGCTACGTGTGACGGAGTCTGGCGCAGATTGGCGACGCGCAGCATCATATGTTTCGATTAATGAATAATCTATATCAAAATGTAAATAATTATATATTATTGCTCGGAATGCCAATGGATGTGAAAACCAGACTAATAATTATTTCAATTTATACAATCATCCTCTCAAATAATTGCTTTGTTAAATAAATGTTAAGTGTGCAACTTTTACTCCGTGACAATAGGGAATATGCGTGTGATTTAAATAAAGATGTTATTACTAAATTTAAAGTTAAAACTTTTTTATATAAGTATTACCTGCCCGTTTACAATGTTACCTACGCAAAACTAATGTTTCTCAGTAAGTGAATTGTATTCTTTTGATAAATCTGAAACCTTAAAAATAGGTGGGAAATTCAAACTATTTGAAACGCACGCCATTGGTCAGACCGAATATGACGTCAGAGTATATCATACAGAGCGATTAGCGATTTTGTCGGTTACAAATTGAGTAGTCATTTCTCTGTGTATTTTATCATTTTTTATTTTATTGTCACGACACACCAAGCGCGCGAAATGGCGAGCATTTAAAGTACCCGTAACGGTAAGATATTAAAAAAGAATAGTATTTTTGGAGCTAAATTTTTTTTCAATTATATAACGTTGTAAGCTATTGTATAAAAACAAAACGTGTGTGTGTACATATCACGTAAGAAGTTATACTTTTTTGACCAACAGAATAAAAATAGCTAAAGATTTCATCCCGTATGTCACAACTCTGTTTGTAAAAGGAATGATATATTAATAAAATAATCAAGTAAGACATATTATGCATATTACAATCATATACATATTTATAGAATAATGGTTTGTCTGATACTTGTGTCTGTTTAGGCTTTTTAGCTTGGTGAGACACTTCTCAGGTAGGTGTCTCATTTCATCATGTCCTGACGAATCTATTTTGGAGGGTTGGAACACTATGTCTATTTGATCTTCTATATTGAAGTCTTTTCTGTTTGACAGTTGGTACATTTAAGTCAAGATATAATGAGTTCTTATTACTGAAGTTTTGAGGAATGTTAAATATGATCCTCAGTGTTTTGGTTTGGAATCGTTCCAGTATCTCAATGTTACTCGTTGCTGAACATAGCCTAAAGCTCGTTCCTGAATGATAGACTTTTATTTCATCAGTAAATTACGAAAATTTGATTTAAAAATCCTTTTTCTTTACTTAGAGAAAGTTTCAAAACTTTTGTAACATACCCTTTTGAATTAAAATTTTTTCTTTTATTAATTTTACATGAACATCAACAACAAACCGATATCATGTTATGCCATAATATACGTATTAAAGTATTTAATTTATTTTTAACCGACTTCAAATCGAGGAGGTTTTCAATTCAGCTGTATTTTTTATTATTTTTTTCCTTTTTTGCTAAGGTTATTTTTGCCTCTCTTTCGTATAATGCATAATTGAGGGTTGGTTGAACATATTTTAAGGCGTAGACTCGTCCTAAAAGCGAGAGTGACGAAAAACAGGTAAGTGTGTCTTGACAATGATTTTGTAAATAATTGATTTGAATTTTTTCATATTTCCATTAGCTTATAAGTTTATTCTGTTCTTGTCATTAGTTCAAAACTATAGGAAATAGTGTTCATAATAAAAGAGCCAAAGAAACGAACATATCCAACAAACGAAACTATTTATATCGTATTATCCATATAACTCCATTCATACAACTTAAAAGAAACCAATTTACTGCTCAAATACACGAAAAGTGTCATTTGTTAGATAAATAAGGAGATAGGGCTTCTGAGAATGGGGAGAGAAGGTTGCCGGGCGATGACGTCTATTACCACCAAATAATAATAAATAGTAAAAGGAAAATTTAGACAAAAAGTACTGCTTATCTACCTATACATATAATTAAACTGTAGAGGTCGAATGTTTGTACATAGAAAAAAAAATGCTAAAAACCGAGTCAGGGGGATGTAAGAAGAGAATAAAACAAATCCAGATTTTTTTCTATTTTTTGTTTCTCTATTTGTTTGTCTGTTTGTACGAGCTAATCTCCGAAACTGTTAGACCGATTCAAATGAAATTTTGCATGGTGGTACCTTATATCCCCGGTCAACATATTAGATACTTTTCATGCCGTAAAATTAAAGAGTTCCCGTGGCATAGTTAAAAAACTATAGTAACTTATACAGCTTAGTACACAACAACTTATGCGCCCAATTTAGTAAAGGTGCCATGCTGATACCTTATATTGCCGGTCAAACAACAGGTTACTTTTTATTCCGGAAAAATGAACGATTCCCGTAGTATAGTTTTGTTTGTGCTTTCTTAGTTTTGTATAAATGTATAGATTAAGTATGCATTGTCATCATATGTACAGATTGCTTAAATTGACATGCCTACGAAACTTCAATAGTTTATTGATGAAAAATGTAAGTGTGTATAATGTGTTATAATTCATAAGTTGTTACTGAATGAACATTATTTTCAATTATTAAATAAATTGGTAATTCAGTTGGGATTTATCTCAGATTTTTTTTTTATCACGTTGAAATGTAATAAAACTAAACGAATTGCCAAGTTATCTGCAGGCCGGCTCGTTGCAAATAATGATAGTATTACTGATACTGTCACTCCTTTGAGGATTTATGTGTCGCATCGGAATGCTTTATTATGACATAAGTCATAAAGCATCCCTCGTGGAATATTCTAATATGATAGTATGATTAATTGTAATATTTAAACTTATCTCAATCACATCTCAATATAGCTCAATATTTCCTCTTAATGACGCAGTTAAAAACTTCTGCACTTACTACCTACTACTGCGAAATGATGAACCTACTTACACCAAAATTATAAAAACGATAGAAAGTTAATCTGTGTGTCTACTATATTAGTGAACCAGCAGCAACAGCAATCATTTCTTTAGACCATATTTATTGTACTTTCTTATAATTAGGCATTTTCTTTATCCTACATATCTAAAGTGGGTCGATAACCAACGACAAATATAATATAGCAATAAAAAGCTTAGTGTATCTTTCCTTCGGTGTGAATTATCTTTACGACGCGCCGCTTTCGCTACTGAAAAATCGCGATACGATAATTGCACACAATTAAAGTATATGACAGGGATCGCGGCCAAAGCGTTGGAGTGACGTCAAGCGAGTTGTAAATCTTGATATTAAGCGAAATGTACTGTTTCTTAAGAAATAATACATAATTTACTATTTTTCAGCAAGAAGTTTTAAAATAAGTATATGTAAAAAAACGTAATAGGGTAAATCCTCTCCGTCTCCTTGACTTTATCATGTTGTTAATTTGTCATAGCTTCACATAGTAACGGTGCAAGTGATTGGCGTCAATTTATTCATGTACATCTCTTTACACCCCGGTTGGTCAGATCAGGTAGTCTTGCGAGTTCCGGGTCGAGTCGAAATAGTAAATACTAAGTTTTAGACCACGAAATTCTCAATAACAATATATGGGAATATGCATGATTTTTTTTATACCTATATCGTTATATAATTATATCATATAGTATATAATAAAAAAAAAAATAAAAAAAAATTGTAGAAAAAAATACCCAGCTCCCAAAAACTAAAACTTATTATATATTTTTTTAAATATCATACCGTTACGGATACTTTAAACTCTTGCCCTTTCGCGCGCTTGGCGTGTCGTCACAGTACGATATACACAGAGAAATGACGAGTCAATTTGTAAGCGACAGAATCGCTAATCGCTCTGTTATGATATACACTGACGTCATACTAGGTCTGACCATTGACGTGCGTTCAACTACTTTGAATTTTTTGCACTTTTTAATAATTTTTAATAATTTATTTTCTTAATCAAAAAGAAGTTACATTAAAAAATATTAATATAGATTTAATTCTAAAGCAAAAAAGATTATAAAAAAAGCAGTCTGAAAAATGATGACTGCCGATTGTTTGATCTTAATTAAAATTTGTAAATTAAAACCGTTTTCATTTATCTGATTTTGACATCTATCGGCACTCTGAGTGTTAGCGTTAACACGTCACGTGACCATGTCGATGACGACTTACATTTTACACCCCATCCAAACCTGCCTAGAAAAGTTTTCACTTCAAAAAAAATATTTCACCTTTATTTAAATCACACGCATAGTATTTTTATTTAAATTAAATGTGTAATAAAAAATGTTTCTGAATTATCTCGTAGAATAAGATAAATCTGAAGCCTTAATTATAGATGAACACAAAATATGAGAGCACAAATCATCTCCACATTTTTGAATTGTTCAATATAATGACTTGATTGTTTTACAATTTGCCGGAATTGTGACAAGTATCAATAAAAGCGACCGATCCCGCAACTGAAGGCGTCCGCGGTCGTCGCAGGCCACTTGCATCGAATTAGGTCAATCAAGACTTCAAAGAGTTAAAGTAAGGGTACTTAATGATGCTAATGCTGTGTAAATCTGTATGTGCTGTTTTATGTGATAAATAATAAGAAAGAATTGTGCTTTTTAAAAATCTTTGCCAATTTTTAACAATATAATAGCCACTTATATTATTAGCATCCTCAAGTGATTTAAAATATGGTTCGGTAGTATTTCTTTATGGATTCCTTGTTCTATTTCAAACTTTTTGTTGTTTAAAACTTCTGGTCATCATTTATCCAATTGTCGGAACCAGACCTCAGACTACGGGTAATAGCTAGTTTTAATTGTCAGTCGTCAGGTGTCGGAGTGTGTCAATCAAGGCGCCATTCATCACAATAAAGTGCATCGAATTGAAGTCTCAATTGCACGTGCCGCTTCTACTTGCAGTACCTACTTTAGCCAATTCCAATCATGTATACCTAAAATAAACTGAAATATGTTTGATTTAGTTCTCTTATATAATAAACATTTTTTATGAAAAATATTACATTATCATTTATAAGAAAACTTTATGTACATACGTGATAAAATGTGACGTAAGTGTAAATAAATTTTAATACTTAAGTCTAAAACGACCTCAGCACTGATTTGATTTTAGTTAATTATAAAAAAATTGAGTCAACAGATGGTAATTTATTAAATGTATGAGGAGGCTCTGTAAAGTAAGACGCTTCCATTATTTTACTTTCCTTACAAAGAGTACCTCCTACGTGATATTGTGTGTATAGTTACACGCCCCTGGGGTCTATTGTGGGAACTGATAGGTATGAGCATAATTGAACAATCACCGCGTTGCAACTCAAGGGAAATCCAATACACCAGTACAGTGCCGATAGATTCATCTCATGTATCTAACTACAATTATGTTTGGGTGTGTTGTCACAGTCTATTTTGGTCACCATTTTTTATCGCCGGGTTCACTGATAGGGGCGTCATGTATACGGCGATGATAACATTTCATTATCTCTTCAGAAAATTCCAGGCTAATTTTTAAGTGACCTGTGAAATAATTAATAATTACAAAATTCTGTTTTTCGTATATGTATTTTACAAAAGATGACAAGGTTAATTAACATTTTTTTATCAATAATTGTTCTTCATGTTTTAATTTAGGTAAAATTACATATATTTACAAGTAAATAATCTCAACAGATAGTTTAGAATCCTTGCTTGCTATACAGATTGTCTACTCTACGTTCAACATTCTAAAATTTACTACGAAATTAACAAGAACATCTTAGTCTTAAGACTACAATACTTGGATGCCTAAGATAAATATATTTTTTTTATAAATTATCTTATCATTAGCCACTTTTATTAGAGAAAAATACTTTCCGCTGTTACATATATTTGTTGAACCATGCCAAAACGAATTTAGCAATATTGTTAAGACTAAGTTGTATATACAAGTAATGAACAAAATTAATAATATTTAATCGTTAAGTTAAAGGCGCGGATCAAGCAGGGTTTATCGCATAATATGAGAATGAAATATATATGTAAGAAATGTAAGTATAATTTTTCAAAAGTATAATTTTAAATCTCAGTAATTATTATGTTCGATAAAAAGTTATAAAGAAAATTTAAGTAATATTTTTTATTCAATTTGATCAATATCAATTTGGGAGTAACATAAAAAATATTCTGCGACAAGTTGTTGATGATAATTGATTTTTTTAAATTAAAATTATATTCCAAATAAATTTAGAAGTCTTTTGTAAATTTATATGAAACAACACTATAATGCAACAAGCTGCTTTACGGCTTCAATTTGACCTCTTGAGTTCTTATTTTTTTTTATTTGGGAAATGCATTTACGCACACCACCTGTAGACATAGAGGTAGTTATGAGGGACTCACCGGCTCGAAAAGCCAGTACTACCCACTAGAACCCAACAAAACCTTCCCCCGTCTTAATGGGGCGTCGCAGGATCGCTTACCCACTCAACTACGACTCCCCGACGGTAGGTCTGCCGAAGCAGACCACAATAACCATGGGGTTGCTCCAAGGTCCACTCTGCTATCAGAGAAGTACCAGGAGTAACCCGCATGGCACACCGCCCACCAAAGTGGGCCATATCCCTGTGCGTTTCTTAGCTTCGCGCCCGGATTTGGATTGCCGGGCACTACAAAAATTTGCTGAAGGAAGAAAATAAGTAATCAATGAATATTACTAAAATCCCTCATTACTATATGAGATATTATTATCTCACAGATATAAAAGACATATTTTTTAGAGAGATATTTTTGATCTAGCCTCATTTTTTTATTGACTGCATAAACTTACATTTTGATATCCTACACATTTAAGACATCCGTGTTAATTTGTTTTTATTTTCTTTTCAGTTTTAGTTACAGTAAACGATTAAGAGTGCGATTTCTGCGCCACAAGATTGAGCAGTTGAGAGAATACAAGCCTTACAGACCTTCATCTTAGAAGAAAAGTTGATAACAGACAACTGTCCTCCATTACCAACAGAAGAAGTGGATAGTAGCTTAGAAAACTATTTAGCACCAGCACATAAGAAACGCAAGATATTAAAACTGTGCCTGCGCAAAAGAACCGGAAGGCGTTGCATTTGCTGGAGTACACGTACGTACGTACACAAAGCACAGTTAAATGTAATTGTTGTAATATATATTTGTACCTCGTTAAGGACCAAAACTGCTTTGCAGAGTTTCATAATAAGTTATCGGAAGTAACGTGAATAATTTGATTGTTTAATCTAAGTATCCAACTGATTAATCTCATTGAAGTCTGATAATGTTAAGTTCTTATGTTACGAGAAAAGTGTATTTTTGTTTCTTTTGTGGTCTAGCCTAAAGGTACTAATAGATTGATTATTTTACGTTTTAAATTATAATGAATATCTTATCAGTATTATGTGATTTGTTTGTTTACCCCGAAAGTATATTATATCTATACGCGGGACATCAATGATAATTAATTAACTCCGAATGTCCTATAGGTACGACATCTGGAAAACCTGCTTTTCCATATCAATTTTTTTTTTATTATTTTTCACCTCATTTTAATACCATTCTAAATAAATCAACCATGTTTCATCAAATTCGGAAACAATAAAATTACATACATTAACAGGTTAAATACATTAAAATCTCTCTAGCAGAATTTTCTATTTCACTGTCCAAAAAATTACAACGGACTACCTAGATAAGGGCCTATATGTTGACGATGGGCTTAACGCTAGAAATGATGCAAAATCGACAAGAGTGGCGGTAAAGTATCAGGAGGGCTGACCACATTATATAACTTTTATCTCCTACGCGGGAACTTCTTTTCATATTCTGTATTAAGACGACCTCAACGAGTGCCCTATATATCTTCCAAATCCACAAATATTTTTTTTCCATAATTTAGTCCAAAACTATACAACACTGTTCGCGTAGATCGCATACACATATGTAAATTAACACATAGACACATTTTTCGAAGTTGGTATATTTTTGTCAAATACAGCCTCCACGATTTTATTATACGAGTAACTAACTATAGGTAAAAACATACTCTAATATTTATTTTGTTATATTTTAAAGTCTGATTTTAATAACCTTATAAAACCAACTATTTGTGACAGTTTGAGTCGATCAAAGAAGAAACAGAAGCTTACCTTAATAGCTCGTACTCTGTCGTCAAGCTGTAGGGGAGGGGGGAGGAACTGTTGCTCCCACGCAGCTCCGCCGGGAGCTGTCCCGTTGGTGGCTGTCCCGTTGGTGGTTGTCCCATTGGTGGCTGTCCCGTTGGTGGTTGTCCCATTGGTGACTGTCCCGTTGGTACCGTTCACGTAGGGGCCGTGTCCGTTGACGCGCGCCACCGACGGACATTTCTCTACCACCGTCGACATAATGCTATGCGGGTATATCTACGGACGGAAAAATATATACGTTATAAGCTTTTGCCATGTATAAATACCATAAATTCAAAAGAAATTATATTTTATAATATTCGTCATTCGATAGGACATCTCAACATAGGACTTGTGTCGCATTTTACGATTTCTAATAAAAAAGGAAAATATCTAGTCTTACTATTCAAAAATCTATATAGTATATTATCTATTATAAGTCCACCAATCGATAATCACACAATATAATATCGCAACCAGTTATCGCTGTCTCGTGTCTCGTGAGGCCCGCGCCGCGACGGCCACGGCAAGGGGCGGTCGTCACCTTCTATTGCGATAAACTAGAATCTACTTTATCTGGTCATTTAATTATATTTTTTGCATTTTATGTAAATGTTACAACAAAATCACAGAAAATATATATATATTTTCCTTCAATTGCGGGGTCTTAAAATCTCTACATGCCTTATCTCGGGTTCCCTTCAGAGAGCTACGCGTTGGAGAAAACAACTCTGAGATCTAGTTTTTCTTTTTTAATATACAATTTGAAAAATAAAAATCTTTGACTTACTTCAAATTATAAATTTTAGTGCAATTAATCCTTTTCTAAAACAAGATAAAAACTTAATTAAGAAGGGAAAGGGGAGAGTCCGAAAAATCTTTTCTGCTACATGGGTCATAAATGTCCAACATTGTCTAATGAATGGTCTCTATTGAATTCTATTGAATTATGTGTTAGAGTGATATTATGAATAATAATAACGCGCATAAAGTCGTGCCAATACGCTAGTAAATTGTTAGATCTGCGAATAACAAGCAACATTATAATTGTTATAAAAAGCGAAACTGCGAAATAATTTGTAAGAGGAAGTTGATTATTATTATAATAACGAAACTATTTTTTTTAAATGTCCGTCGACGACAATTACGGCACATTATCCACCGAAGTAAACCACTGTTTACCTACTCGTATCATTATTTCCATTTTTTAAATACCATTTCACGTGACTTCCTTTTCATGGTAATAATCTACAAATTTTAATCAAGACTAAACATTTTTCCCTAAAATCGTAATAGTTTGAACACGATGATCCCTATATCTAATATGAAACGACCACGATAGTAAATTGGAATTTGAAATAGATGTTATCGTCAATATGACAGAAAACGATAATAATGATCTCCAATGGATTCCAAGATAATATTTTTGTACAATGTAAAATACTTATTAGTCTTAACTTAAGTGTAGTCCTTTGAACATAGAGTATTATACACTAAGTAATATTAAAAAGAGGTAAGTTTGAAGTCTGGATGTAGGGAATGGCAGATCTTGGAAACTTCTGATTCAATTTTAAAAATTCTTCAGTTATAACTACCGCTGAGTGCTATAGATTATTTTTCATTTCGATAAAATTGTGTTTGCTGTCAAAATTTATAATAAGATAAATTGAAGTCGGAAAAAAAATTGGCCATGAAGTTACTTTGTCAGTAAGCCCATATGCGAAATAATTTAAAATAAACCAATAAATGGTATACCCAAAAGACACCTAAGGAGCAGGGATGCACCCGAGAGAAGCAAGGATAAGTTGCTAGTAAAAAAACAGAAACTATTTATAGTTTTGATATAAAATAACAATAAACAGTAACTACGTATCTTGAATTTATCGCTAAGAACAAAATGCGAGAACGCTAACAGTTTTACTAACTGCAGTTTATTTTGATGTATGATTATACATAATTTACGAAAGAATTTTAAATATATATTAGTAGCGTTCTTTACTCACAACCAGTAATATATTTAATGTGTTGGTTGTTTTCTGTTATTAATAATATAGATGAACTTGAATAAGATCGGTTTGATACAAAAATAGATCTATATGTATGGCGGTGCGCAGGCGCACGCGCGGTGCGGCGTGACGCGGCGGCGCGCCCACCGCCCTCCGCGCCGACGCCGGCGCCGAGCCTTCGCCAATGTTTGTTTTCTCGCGATTATACCTCTTTGTTACATAACACAGCTCGGTAGCTGTAGTGGAGAATTAGATAATATCAATATTCATATAAAGTAAGAGTTGTATAAGACTTGATAGTTGATACAAGACTCAATTAATAAATAAAACATTTTATAATAATAAGTATAACGTAAAACTCAATGATTATTATTTTGTAACTAGTTTCAATGCACTGTCCGAGTAAACATAAAACTAAGAAATCTATAACTATAGACATATGTACATACTCGTATAAGCGTTACCTACTTGTGTAAATATAAAGCTATTTATTATAATTTATACAATTATAATTATCAATATTCAATAGCAAAATTGTCTCCTCACGATGGAAAATAATCTATAATATAAGTGCTCGGTAAATACAAATATTAGCAAAGACGTCGGCGACGAGACACTGTAATTTATGGCATTCTTAGTTCATACTTCACGTACATACTGAAAAGTAAAACGCAGTAACGCAATCAGTCTAATCGAAGCACAACGTACAAGATTACTTACTACCAGTTATTGAAGGGAGCTAGACCACGAGGGAAAAATGAAACGCCAGTAGATAACCGAACAAAATAAATACTTACTACAACATGTGTAGTTCCTTTAAAATGTCATTTTTACTAAGTGTTCAATTTCTTGTTAAATTTTATATGGCATCATATGGTGTATTTCTATTTATTAAAAGAAAAAATACGAAAATCTAGAAAGGAAAATGAAAATCACAATAAGCGGAGTTATCGCGAAACACTCAAATAAACACATAACCGAGTGAAGCATTTTAATTTTTTGAAGTTGGACAAAAAAAATTCAAAACTAGTTTTCAAAAGTATGTATTTAGCCGAACGGACAGCTTGTAGATGAGACTACATAAGACAATAACATTATATGGGACAAAGGGTTTAAGATACAAAATTTATTTGGCTGTAGATGAATAAAGATAAATACAGGACGGTATATCAGTTGACCGGCCGACCATCGGGCAGCTTAATTTTTCAATAAAACAAGCTGCGTTAGAAGAGTAGGTTATTTAGATTTTTTTCCTTAAAGACGGCAAAGTAAAAAATTATAAACAAAATATAGATACATTTTTTTTTAAATAAAACTATCTTTTCGGATTTTCTCGCGGATTTATTTAGATTTTTGATTCCCGACGATTCGAATGCTTTACAGCAATCATGGTCACGGGAGAGACAAAGGTTTTAGACTTTAGTTAAGAAAGTATTACATATTTGTATTATTTATATCTTATATAACTATCACTGTATAACACCCACACACCGTAAATCCTAATTTATTCTTGGACGCTGAACAAATGGACGTCATCGGGTATTTATGTATTTATGTAGCAAAAATAAGTGAGAGCCAATTTCGAAAAACAATTCGATATCAAAAATATTGGAAGTCTTGAAGTAGTGGCATACGATGCGATCAGTGTCACGTAACAAGTGCGTTGCGACTCGAGATAATAAAACGTTAAATAAAAATAGATAATTGTGGGAGTGAACATTTCACAAACATTTTATCTTCGATTTAGCGATTTAGGCCATTTTTACTAGACTTTTGCAAAAAAAATGATATCGATAATATATTACACTAAATAACGTATTAATTATTATTTTACTTTTTGTAAGATTGTCTTGTTATTTTTATGTACAATTTAACAGTATATAGTAGGTATATACTTATAATGCCATGAATAATTTACTTTTATCTGGTAAACTTAGGTAGATAAAAACAAAATCTTCTTTCATGAAAGGCAACTTGAAACCTTTCGAGTTACGACTGTAAATATATTGCAAGCGGAAGCTAAAGATGGGTACCTTGTGAGTTGTGCCTTCAGTAACTCTATGATGTAGCAATCTTTCAATTACGCCTCATGTCAATTCAACGAGTACAACAATAGCAGGCGTCCGTCCGTCCGCGGTTTTACACCTCAGGTTTTGAGTTACACTCAATACAAGTACTCCATACCACATGCAACATAACATGCATAAAACGAAGTATATTTTATATCTAGCAAAATGCGTCATTTTGATTTATTTTCTATCTACTCATTTTCATTAAATAAAGGTAAAAGTTATATCAAAAACAGGCTAATAGCGAAATGTAAGATTAAAAATAAGTAATTATAAAAATAAAAAACCCGATTAAAAAGATGAAAACGAGTTGACGAAGGAATAAAGTATAATGCAGTCGGAGACATACACGTTTCATCTTTGCCGCGAGATGTATTCTCGTATGTTTAATGTATATACTCGTACATATGCCTCCGACTGATTATATTATGTTCCTTTGTCAATATGTATTCATCTTTTTAGCTTTTATACAGTCGAGTTTTTAATTTTTATAATATATTTTTTATTTACAACTTTTTAGTTTTTGCCAATTCGACATTTGAAGTTATATTTAGCAAATTTTTATCCTAAATTACATTTAAACATATTATAAGTGGTTTACATTTTTGTGGTCGCCTCTTAAAAACCTTTATTTTGATACCCCACTCGATTTACTACAGTAAAAATAGACTTTATTCGGTCAACTTTGCACTAAATTTCCAATCCATTTTTTTTTATAAGGTTTAGGATCACTTACTGAGTATAAAATCACAAAATGCTGCCAGATTCCGGTGGAGCTTCAGGCGCCATCTTGAAAAAACTTTTTTGGTCGATATCCCGGAAACTATGCGCTTTAGGGCAAAAGTTATTGAAACTATTTTGTAGAGAATAAAATTTCGCATCTTTTGGTTCTTCTATCTCGGCCGATAGCAACAACAACCGTTTAATCAATAAAATGCATCTATACATTTTTAAAAATGCATTTATTCTCTACAACTTTTGTTTAAAACTTTTTTTCTAATGTGTTTTAATTGGATAATTAAGGCATTTTGTCATTTTAAATTATTCGACTGTGAATCTATTATCTAAAATTACAAATACTAGAGCTTAAATAGAAATGTACGATCGATAACAGTAATCAATTAATCGTAGTATTAATGAAGATTGCGACGCGTCCTCGCAG